CATTTCCTCGTCATTTCAAGATTGTTTTGTTTTGCGGTCTGGTCTGCTCGCAACTCAACGGAAGATGTCATTCGTCAGATAGAACTCGAACTTCTTCATTTTTATTGACCAGAACAGAACATTTGCGTTAGGTCTATGCAACTGTACAGCTTGGCTCATTAATTCCTTGAGTCAAATTATGCAATATCATAGCCGAAACACTTCCTTACTTGGTAGTCATACCATCTCTTCATTGGATACGTGAAAAGAACGGAGGGGTAATCAACGCTTGCAACTCCCTCTGAGTATTTCTACGAGGGTTCGTCCCGTTATAGAATATTAGATTTAAGTCAGCAACTATATAATTTCTATTCATATGAACGTATCGGAGAAGCAAATAAAGTTTTTTTTTTTTTTGGTAAGTGAGAGAAGCAAATAAAGTTTGTCCATTTCGAAATCAAAGTATTTGTTGACATGGCATGGTGGGATATTTCTCCACAATAACAAGCCCATTGTTGGCTCGACTTTTCTTGCATTTTCAAACTTCCAATCGACACGTTCATACAAATAAAAGACCAGACGAAGACGCTCAGAAAGTGACTGTCTCTTTATATTTTCTTGTTCTTTTCATGGGTGTTGCCAACTACCCTGATGGACATGCATTCGGACTTTTTCAGATACTAAAGAAATGACATGTCATTGTGCTTAAGTACCATTGACAATGCGACACCTTGACAACAATAATAATTAAAAAAATAGGGTGCTGCCAAGCTAACGGCCCCATTATTCTTCCGGTGCCTTTTTTGCCCCACACTCTATTGAGATGAAGGAGACAACAAGCAAATTTGGAAAAGAGTGTGATAGAAAATTCTAAGATATATGTAATTATTGATTGCTCTTGTTCTTTATCAAACAAATTTATAGTTTTATCCCTATTTCCTCCTTCGCACTTTAAGCACCATCATTTGGAACTTTTAGTTTAGTTGCAAAGGTGCTGTTGATTTCTTCTCTATGAGGATATAATTGGTTTTCCGGTGTTGGATTACCCGGCACTAAATTTATCAGTAATAATTCACTTTTGAGTTGATATTTATTTATTCAGAAGATACAAAATATATATAAATTAGGTAAGTTTCAAACTCCCCGTATATTAAAGTATGATGTCTTTGAGTTCCTATATGGAAACCCAACTCGGATTTGGGACATGCTTAAATTTCATTTAGGACTATTTCGAGTTTGATAGGGTCGGCCTTGCAAATCCAATAATTAGTTGGTTATCTGCCAAATAAATTATTTATTTTGGAAAAGTGGGACGCCAATTTCGTCCCAAATGGAAAAAAACTGAAAATAAAAGAAGAAGAAGACACCAGAAAAGAAGGAAAAAAAAAGGTAAGATTTAATCTTGATGTCACTAGCAGGGAATTGGGTGGCAGGAGACGTTTAGTTTCAAATATGGAGATCAACGCTCAGCTAAGAGGCAGAGTAAAGGTGACAAAGGGATGTGAGTTAGAGACGGACAAAAAAAATCTTAAAACAAAAATGGGCCCCACATTTTGACCTCAATGTTTGTTGTTTACAAGGTGCATAAGTAGTTTTGTATTTTTAGTAAAATTGAAATCAAGCAAAACTAAGGAAAAAAATAAGAAATAATCTTAAATTAAGAGTGAAACTCATAAGAAATAATATTATTAATTTAAGGTAATGGGGGAGTCAGAGTAAAAAATGGGGTGGAAAAAACGTGAGTCAAAAAGTAAATAGTGTTTGGAAAACACTTGTAAAAATATTTAGTAAAACAATTTTTGGATGAGCTTAGGCGATAGAGGCAGCTTAGGCAACAACCCGTCGCTAAGGTCATGGGACCCTAGGGAAGGACCATCAAGGTCGCTCGACCTTAGGTGAGCTATGGAGACAAGGCAAGCATTAACCATTTGCGACCCTCGCACAATCTCAAACAAGCTAGATTTAAAGACAAGAGGCAAGAGTCGACCCCTGATGACCCTTGGCGACCTACATGTGGAGAGAAGAGGCAAGCGTCGACTATTAGTGACTCTCAGCGACCCACACATGACCTTAAGCGAGCTAGATTTAGAGATCAGAGGTGAGCATCGACCCTCAGCGATCCTCGCACGACCTCACGCAAGCTAGATCAAGAGACCAAAGGTGAGCGTCAACCCTAGCGCAATCCTGGTGAGCATCGATCATAGGGCAGCAAGCTAGATTTGTAGCGAATAAGAGAGACGATGAATAGTTTCCGAAGCGAGGGCAAGACAAACAAAAATAGATTAAACCCCTAAAATAGCATTTTCGAAATGCGAAAAGCAAAAAATGATCTCAAGTTGCATTGGCCTTAGCAAAGCTCAACTTTCACTCCAAGGCTTTTAGGACGTGTTACCAAACACTTCAATTTTGGTACAACAGCCTTTGAAGGCCCAAAACACTATGGAAATGCTCTTTCAAAATCTCCTAAACAAGATTGATTGGTTTGGATGTTGGTTCATGGGCATCCTAAGAAGAGAGAGGGGGACAATGGAAGCGGCTCTAAAAATGAGAGAAATCCATAACTTTTTGCGAGAGCTCCAAAGTTTTCTTTTGCCTTCTCCTCATTCCACTTTTCCAAACACAACACAAAAGCTACCATGAAACAGTCGGCCGGGGGAAATGATGATATGAGAGTGATGAGACTAGCAAATATCACCTAGAGGGGGGTAAATAAGTTATTTAAGTACTATTTGATCAATTTTAACACGGAAGTAATTGATCACAGGTAAAGTTTAAACAGTATTCAGATTTTGATCAATCTTTGAATAGCAAACAAGTAAATGTGCAATTAAATAAATAAAAGGAGTTTTAGAGAAGAGAAAATTTGCACACAGGTGTATAGTGATTTGACTTAAATTAAGCCTACGTCCACTCTCCCACGCTAACAGCCTACTGGCTGGATTCCACTAGATGATCAATCAATAAATTACAACTGTGAGTGATAATTCTCAGTGTATGATAGGTCTCACTCTCTCACTCAATCGCTTTTTTCAGTTTCTCTCAAAGATTACACTTTAAAGCTCACGAAAGACAAGTATATAGATTGAAGATTTCTCAGATTTTGGAATTCTAGATTATGGATCTCGTCTCTTACTTCTGCTACTCAGCACGTTGGTCTCTTTTTATACTCCTCCACTTCCAAAATAGCCGTTGAACAGTGTTCAGAAGATCGTCTTCCAATTTACCCATTGGACAGAACTGTATCAAGAAGATTGCGTAACCATTGAGGAACAAAATCTGAATCTCCGCTGAATCTGGTCGCCCAAACAACCAAAGTTTTGATTTCCATAAGTAGAACTTCTTCGCTTGGAAAGTGACTTGTCTCGAGATTAATTGCTAATCAATCAAGATGTTTTGCATATAAAACTGTTGCAAAACAATCTTCAAAATTGAGTCAATCAATTTATTTTAAGTGTTTGAAATAAATGCGGAAAAACAAATACACAACACAAGGATTTACGTGGTTCGATCACAAGGTGATCTACGTCCACAGGCGAGGCAAAACAAAATTCCACTATAATCAAAGAGAGCACAGTTTTCAGAAGTCGAAAAAACGACTTAACAAAACCTTATGGCTCATAAATCTCTCCCAAAACGAAAATCTCTCTTAATCAATGAAAAATCTAGCTGCAGTATAAATAAGGCTCTCTAAAAAATTTCCTCGGGGGCATAGCCCCCGAACCCCCCAAGACATTTGTTCGCTTGCTCCAGCTTGGGCAAACCGCTATAAAAGATTTGTTCGCTTGCTCCAGGTTTGGCCTATTGGCTCAACCTTCCACGTCACGAACTAAATCTCAATTTTTTCTCTACTTTTAGGTTGCACAAAAAATATATCAGGTCGAGTGATGAACCGGACCGAGTACATAAAATTCAAGACATATTTAACATTAAGTATAAAATCCAAGCTAGATTAATAATTGTCATGTACGTTCTGAATACATATCACATTCTAAACTTGTGTCCATAGTTCATCATCTTTGGTGTAAAGTCTGAACCTCTTCAACTACAGTGTAAAGTCCAAACCTCTTCTTCTGCAGTATAAAATCTGAACATTTTCGTCTGCAGTATAACGTATGAATCTCTTATTTTGAAGTAATTTCACAATCTGAATAAAATTGTCATATGCTTCTCTTCCAAGAACAACTTTTTGAATTAAAACATTTCAAAAAATTTATCAGATTTACAAAATACTCATGTATAGTTTTGTTAATTTCAAAATATATTAGGAGATTTTCCCAATAAAGAGAGACTTGTACAATTCCCTGGGTCTGTGCGGCGGTGATGTATGTCCCTATAGCTGTTTCTAGTCTTTAATCAGAAGCGTTGTTGTTATAAGAACGATGAAAACAGTTCTTGATGACGACTGAAAAGGTATCAATTCTTTCATCTCGTAATTATCAAATTTCTCAAGAAACGACTGCAGATGTTCTACTCTCACGTTGTCGGAGGTTGGGTCATGGTTGTCGTATTCAACCTTGTGGGAATGGCCCCCACCTGTCCAATAAGGAGCCTCTCTCAAAACCCAGAGGCTCTCTCTCTCTCTCTCTCTCTCTCGGTGATTAGATTTTGGAGCTTTGGGAATATCCAAAGGAATCGGCACTGTCTCTCTGCATTCCTTTGACTCAACTTGAACTCAGAGAAACGAGGGAAAGATCGTTCAAATAGAAAAGATACGAAGCACCCACCAACCAGCTCTTCTTCATTCGCAGATGATGATATGATTATTTTTTTTTTTTTACATGGGCTGTGCTAAAATTTCCACAGCACAGTCAATCACAGCTACGCTACAGATTACATTATGGCCTGCCAACTTGTGAACTCTGTTCCTGATAACCAATATGATTGCTTTTTCCCCTCAGGCAAAGAAAAAATTTTGCACTGCAAAAAAAAAAAACCCCCCCTGCAGTCAGCAGACTAACGGTATTGGCTGGTGCCAAATTGTTTTTTCTTTAATGGTGTCCTCTGTTCTGTGACCAAAAGGAAAAGGAGAACAGGAAATCTGAAACGCTTTTGTCTTCCTCGTAAAACTCTCTTTTTCTCTCTCTCATGCACTCCCTCATCCTCTTTGTTTTGTCTCCAAGCTGTAACATTTCTGGGGCGTCGTAAGATATTGCTTGTTGGGTCTCTCACCACACACTCTCTCTCTCTCTCTCTCTCTCTGTCGTTTCAAATTTGAATGCCGTTTTGGCCATTCGCCTCTCTGTGATCTTTCTTTATTATTTTTCTGGTTCACCCAGTGAAACGTGAAATTACCCCCGTCTTCGCGCCCGCGTCTCGCTCGCTCTCTCTTTGACCGCCTCGGTCACACCCCACATTGAATCTTGACCGCCACCACCACCCCCCCAACCCCCAACCCCACAGCCCGATATAAGCTAAAACCCTTCTCTCGGTACTTTCATCGAGCGCTCTGTTGGCGTCGTCCTCGCAGAAAGATGAACAAGGCGGCATCACATTGTGGTGGAGGCGTTGAGGCTCAGTCCCTCGCTGCTGGCCTCGGAGATCTCAGCTTCAGTAACAACGTCAGCATCAGCTTGTGTAGCAGCACCGTTTCTGGGTCTGATCACAGCGTTAGCAATGCTGCTCCAGATGCCAGCAAGAGCAGCGAGAGCTTGGCAGTAGATTGTGAGGACAGCGACAAGAGTAGTGTGACTTGTGGGAGTAAATCGAATAGTTTCAATGCAAGCGAGTCGAGCTTCAGGACTTGCTGCCCGTCGAAACCGCATCGAGGGAACGATATCCGGTGGGACGCGATACAATGCGTCAAGGGGAAAGATGGTGGGTTGGGGTTGGGCCATTTTAGACTCTTGAAGAAGCTGGGGTGTGGAGACATAGGGAGTGTGTACTTAGCGGAGCTTAGAGGGATGGGTTGTCTATTTGCGATGAAAGTGATGGACAAGGGAATGTTGGCTGGGAGGAAGAAGTTGGTGAGAGCTCAAACTGAGAGAGACATTCTGGGCTTGTTGGATCATCCCTTCTTGCCGACGCTGTATTCGCATTTCGAGACCGAGAAGTTCTCGTGCTTGTTGATGGAGTTTTGCAGCGGTGGCGATCTCCACACTCTTCGGCAGCGCCAGCCTGGGAAGCATTTCACTGAGCAAGCTGCGAGGTTCGTGTTGAATTATTGTTCTTGAAGTTGGAAGTTTCTCTCTGCTTGTTTTGCCATGCTTTCAATGTTTTGCTTTCAAAGTTAGAGAGACTCAGTTGACCCACAATGTGTAGGCAATGCAGCAGGTTGATTGTGACTGAGATTGTGTAAATTCTTATAAGCAATCAGCGGCTTGTGTGCTTTTCGATAGTAAGCAGTGGAATTTGAATTAGTGGAGCGTAGTCGTTCAATTTGACTGCAGTTTTCGGTGTGGCGTCGGACTATTGAAAAAAAAAAATTGTGCTTTCACAGATTAATTTCTTGGAACACACTGCCACAATGCTGCATTAGTTCTTTCAATTTGTGTTCAGCTGTTGCTTTTAGCCATACACTGCAGTTGTGTGTGGGGTTAAAAACTTCAAGCCATTTTCTGAAAGGCGATTAAGTAATCGCGCTTTTATTGGGATTCATCATTTATGCTTGTTTAACCCATTGTTTCACCCACTCCTGCTTTGTCACCCTCTGTCGACAGTAGGAATTGCTGGATTAAATTCTTGACAGTATACCCTCTCTTGCAGGTTCTACGCATCTGAAGTGCTTCTCGCCCTTGAATATCTACACATGATGGGTGTGGTTTACAGGGACTTGAAGCCTGAGAATGTCCTTGTGAGAGACGATGGCCACATAATGCTCTCCGACTTCGACTTATCACTCCGGTGCTCCGTGAGCCCCACTCTCATCCAGTCAAGCTCGGAGTTTCCTTGTAGGATCTCCGCATACTGTATCGAGCCCGCATGCATCGATCCGGCCTGCAAATTGCCCGTTTGCGTCGAGCCTAACTGCTTGCAACCATCTTGCTTTAAACCCCGTTTCTTAAGCACAAAGCCACCAAAGGCAAAAGGTGAAAGGATTAACTTAGTAAGTTCAGATTCGCTCCCTCAACTCATTGCGGAGCCCACAAATGCCCGCTCTATGTCATTTGTCGGGACTCACGAGTATCTGGCTCCGGAGATAATCAGAGGGGATGGTCATGGGAGTTCTGTAGATTGGTGGACGTTCGGAATCTTCTTGTACGAGCTGCTACATGGGAAAACGCCCTTCAGAGGCAATGGAAATCGCGAGACCTTGTTCAATGTGGTTGGGCAGTCTCTGAAATTTCCGGAGGGGTCTGCGGCTAGTTTTCCCGCTAAGGATTTGATCCGGGGTCTGCTCGCGAAAGACCCGCAAAAGAGATTAGGATTCAAACGTGGGGCTGCAGACATCAAGCAGCATCCTTTCTTCGAAAGTATCAATTGGGCTCTCATCCGGAGCACTCAACCCCCAGAAATCCCGAAGCCGGTCGATTTTTCATACTTGAACCACCCGTTCAAGGCTGTGCCTCAGAACGACAAGGGGGCAACGGACTCGGATAGGTCATCTGGTCCTTATTTAGATTTCGAGTTCTTCTGATTATTTTTGGAGGGAAGGCTGGGTAGCGGTAGCGTCAGTTAGGATGGGGCGGTGGGGGTGGGGGGACTAGTGACAATTATGTTGTGCAATCGATCCCAAAATGAAATTTTAATTATCTCTTTCGATCACTTTCTGCTCTTTCCTTTCCCAACTCTAATTGCATTTTGCGCATAAAAACACAACTCCCTTTTTGCTGCACTTTTAAAGAGCTGAAGATAGGACAGATGAGGCATCTTTTGCTGCTTTTTTTTTTTTTGTCTTTATCAGCTGGGAAAAAGGCTTACAAGGTGAGAGGTGAAACTCAGACAAACGCATTCCATTGCACATACCATGCCTCTTTTTTCAAACGCTCCTCTTTGCTATGTCAGAAAATCTGGATTGGCCCCAGTGGCCCTCTTCCTAGTTCCTACTTTTATATGAAGACTAGTCTCAACTTTCTGGAAAAAGATTATTCTTGCTTGAAAAGAAAAAGGGGGGGATTCGAGCTATAAGACAAGTCATGGAAAAAGGGTCTTTAGGCAGTGCTGAATTTTGGTTTTATCTAGTAATGAGGAATCGTCGTGGTCCCACAGTAATACTCTCTCTGGTCCCATCCTTGCGGTATGTTCGGTAAGCTTGGCGTTGAGATAGTTTCCAAGCTATGCTCTATTCTTCTGTATCATTCTCAGGCTTTTCTTGAAAGAAAATGACACTCCACTCTGATCGTCGCCTTCTTTCTCTTCCCGTGACTATTGAGACGAGGTTGTATCGGACTGGTGATCGCCAAGAACCGAGTTCGCGCGTGATAAAGACATGTGAGTTCGCAGAATTGGTCTGAAGAGACGGCCTAGGTGGCCAGAGACAAAAGCGAATGTTTCTTTACATTGGTTGCTGTCCGTTTCTGGGACCATTTTGTATGGTTTTAGAGAACTTAGATTGATAGAATTACACGACCCGCAAGTATGCAATCATGAACATGTTCGAGTTCTTAGGCGTGTGACATCTGTTTCTCAGCTTGGAGTGACTAGTTGATCGTTACATTGTGACTGTGTAATGAGTTCGATCGTTACTTATCCGATGTACTCAAATTGAGTTTCTAAGGTTATTGTTTTGGCTGATTGTCGTATGGTTGTTGCCCGGGAGCGTGCGAGCACCCAGGTAATCTCTATTGGCCGTGGTTCCTCGTCCCAGATGCACCAGCCGAGTAATTGTCGTGGCCATACAAGTCCGTGATCGTGAGTGGCTCCGACCGATAGTGAACTTTGGTGATTCGAATCCAGAATTCGTGCAGGGAACACGAACGAGGTTGCCATTTGAGATTAAATGTTTCTGTTCTTTGTCCTGTTAACCGGTTGATTTAGTAAAGAGACCCGATCGATCTGCATCTGGGAAGTCCCACCCTCTTTGCGCAGGCAGACAGACAAAAAAGGAGGCTATCCATACCAATCTTCTCAACCTAAAAAAGAAGAATGAGAGCTCAAGCCTATTATAACATGCAATCACAATAATGCTTTGGCGGGAAAACAATAAGCAACATTTTATTATAAATAAATCATCAAGAAAAGTCAGAAACACGAAAAATATTCGCAGAAATTCTTTCTCTAAACGATATGAGATTACGTTATTAAGATTGTCGATCAAGCGAACCAACATATGTGTTTGTTCCTCTTATTTAAAGACTCCCCTAACATCTAAAAGTTTTGAAGTAAATTTATCTCTTTTCGAAATTGTACAATCAAAATCTAATCTCTTCGCCTTTTAACGTGTGGACACAAAAATGTTTGATGTCTTGAGTTCCACGCAATATCAAGCATGACATCGATCATAATCAAATGACAAAGCACATGGACTTGGCCAATCAGAAAGCTTAGAACTCTATTGTCAGTTCCAACTCAAAATAGTATCGACATTTTAATTAGATTGGTGTTCAAATAAAGGAAATTTTCTTCTTTTCACCCCCATACAGTCACGTTTTTCTATATAAATCCATCTACTGTTAATTACTTAACTAAGCCATTTCTACTTTTACAAATTTTTTAATTAAGTCCCTCCGACACTAAATTTGACCAAATTCAGCTGACGTGATTTAATTACACTTATGGGGGCTAGTGGTGACCCCGGCCCCCCTATTTCCTCAAATTTTCCTTAAAATTAAGGAAAAAGAATTTATAAAAGGATCGATATTTCTTCGACCCGAATTTATCATCTTGTCGTCCCTAACGTGAAATTCTTGATCCGCCATTAACCACACTATTGGAGAGTGCGAATTTCAATCTTTAAAGTTCATTTTGGTCCCAAAGAAAGAACAAACCTCGATAAAAGAATAGTCTTCTAGCATCGTTCTAGTTCCACTTGTCCAGAAGGGATGACTTTGATCAAATCTTCCCTTCTTGAAAATCAAACTCTCATCCATGGCCGCGTTATGTGATGGCCCAGGTGGCGGTGCACGGGGAATAGGGATGGCGGTACCGTCGGTTCCATGGATCCACAGAACCGGACCACGGTCCGGTCCGATTCCCAGTGGTCTATGTGCGTCCCAACAAGTTTTCTGGACAAATAAAAAAAAAATATGTGGACCAACATCGGATCAATGAGAACAAAAAGAAAATAACATAACTTTCCATACAATTCATACACTATGATCGGTTATATTAACCACATCATCCATAAATCAAGTGGGTACCCATCAATTATTGGGAAAAATGACTAAGGTTATCCCAATTACACAAGACCTTTAGACATGATAACAAATTTTCTTCTTTTTTTTAATTTTTTTTTGGTCAGATTTTTTTAGTTAAAAATTAAAAAATAAAATATATTATTATTTTATTACAGGTCCGGTCCCGGGTGGGCGGGTGGCGGTTCCACACCGGGCAACCGAACCGGACCAGGTTCCCTTTGGAACCACGGTTCGGTCCGGTCAGGCGGTCCCCGGCGTCCGGCGGGTCGGTTCTTTTTGCACACCCTTAGCGTTATGTGATGGCCCGGTGGCGGTGCACGGGGAAGAGAGATGGCGGTACGTCCGCATCTCGATTCTCGGATGTGCGTAGGAAAGGGAGAGTCTTTCTTGTCCCACACGCCTGAGGGGGTCCTAGACTGACTTATAAGATTTTGTACGCGTTTAAAATTTGGGTTCTCTATCCGTACATACACGCATCGCCCAAAGGAACAAAACCGTGAAGGCCCAATGGGGCCCAAAGCGAACAATACCGTGAAGGCCCAACGCGGACAATATATGTACAGTGACGGATCTCGAGGCGTTACACGTTTTGCAATTGCGCACGATCCCTATTAAATTTCCAATTGCTTCTTCTCAATATTCTTCTCCCTCGTGACAGCTCTCACGTTTCATCCCTCTCTCCTCCATTTTACGTCTCAAATCTCTTTCACCCCAAGATGGTGATCCACCTCGAGAAGATGGCTTCTGCAGCTCCTGAAAAAGCCCGACACATCAAATGGTACAGTGAAGGACCTTTGAGGGGCACTGGGCCTTATAGGTAACTCTGATTTGCCAATCATCCGTATTCTTTTAGGGTCACATTCAAATTTGACTTTGCGACCCGGGTAATTATTCGATTTTCAAAGTATTGATTTCACATGAACAAACATTTTTCTGTTCAAATGGAAAAGGCCCTTGTTGTCGACTGCAATTACAACCCATTCGACTGTGTCTGGTCGGAAATCTGTTTTCGGAATGATATTTCAATGTTTGCATCATCACTCTCACCAAAAAATAAAAACTTCTTTTATCGGGTTTCTTGAACATTTCTGTGCCTCTGCTACAATCAAAGCAAGTGCATTGAGATGATACGTTACCTAGAGGAACTAAGATTTTGCTCTGAAAATAGTCAGCATTCAACTTATTTAGGTCAATCAATTTTCTTGCATTGAAGGTGGGTCAATGCATCCGCTCATGAGGCTACGCATCGACATCAATACAGAGGGAGTTTTTGGTACAATGGGATTTACACATAGACATAGCAAAATCACATGCGAGTAACATCATGAGAATAAAAGTTCGGGTTACGAAAAATTCCAAACTAATATATTTGTGATAAATTTACTCAAAATTAATTTTTTTATCACTAAAAACCCTAAATTAATATACAAGTGACAAATTTACCCCAAATAAATTTTTTGATCATAAAAAATCCCAACCCGATACATTTGTGACAAATTTACCCTCCGTTAGTTTCCGTTAAATTGCATTAATACTAAGAAAAATTATAAATTGGTACACGTGACAAACGGAGGGTAAAATCCCAAATTGATATATTCGTTAATTTCTACGTGTCATCAAAACTCATTTGACCGGTAAAATTTAACGGAAACTACCGGAGGGTAAATTTGTTACGGACGTAATAATTTGAGATTTTTAATGACATGTATATTAATTTTGAATTTTTTAATGATATTAACCAATCGTTGATTAATGTATCTCACAAAGTGAATCAGAGTCCCACCCAACTGCACGGCGTTCCCTAGGGTGGGTTCGCATTAAACTGCAACATTCAATGAGGAGAGAGAGTGTGAAACTCGCCCCCTGTTTCTTTCCACGTTCTTGTTTTGTTCTTTGCCTTGTCCGAAATCAAAGTCTTCGGCGCCCCCCTCCTCCCCCTACAATAATGTGAAAAATAAAGAAGGGAGCGATAAATCAAAGAACACCCACCCTGTTTTCAGTTTTCCTTCCTCTCCTTTTGACCCAAGGAGGGAAAAGCAAGAAACCCCAGAGCTTCCAGATTTCTCCCACGGGGGAACCGCGAGAGTCCCGCCATGGAATTGAAGTATCGCCTCGTCTTTCCCTTCCTTGTCCTCCTCGCCTTCTTTCCCAACTCGTCTCGTTCTGCTAACCCACGATGGGTTGGGGAAGAGAAAACGTAATGCTTCCTCCTTTTCTTTTCTTTTCTTGTTTTGGGCTGTTTGGTCAGGTGCTGTTTGAGGGAATTCCGCGATTCAAGCTTGAATCTTGATGGGTTTTTGCAGGCGGGGATCGGTGATCCGGATGAAGACGAGTGGATCTTCAGCCGGTGTCGATCCTACTCGGGTCACACAGCTCTCGTGGAGGCCAAGGTGCGATCTTGTTGCTTTTTCTGCCCCTTTTGTAGGGTTTGTTGTTGAAATATCTGTGCGAATTGTTGGTGTTTGCATGTTCTGTTCCTCCTCGTGCTTAGAATTTTCAGTTTGAGGAGATTTTTGTTTTGCTTAGGTGGGAAAAAGAAAAGTTTGAGACTGTTCAATCTGAATGTGGATTTGTTTCTGAAAAAGAATTGCGTTCTTGTAGGGCTTTTCTCTATAGGGGTTTTTTGTCTGATGAGGAGTGTGATCATCTCATGAACTTGGTGAGTGCATTCTTCAACGGTCCTCTGTGTGGGAAATCCTTTTATACAAAGGAGAATTGTGAATGCGTGATGAATTTCTGTTGTGAATTTGGGTGGAACAGGCGAGGGACAAGCTTGAGAAGTCGATGGTGGCTGACAATGAATCTGGTAAGAGTATAGAGAGCGAAGTCCGGACGAGCTCAGGAATGTTTCTTGGGAAAGCTCAGGTGAGTGGATTAATCCTCTTTCTGAATTAGCAAAATGAATTAAGCAATTGTTGTTTACACCGATGTGGTGGTCATGAAATTGGTACTTTTGAAATCTGTCTTGACCTGTTTCATCTAGGAGAAGTTGTAGCTAGTAAGAGATCACCATGGCTTAATACATTGATGGGATTGATTCTTTATGGCAGAAGTTTGTTATGCTGCTGATTTGAAAGTATTAATACTGAATTAAATAACTTCTGCTTTGTCGAACTTCACCAGCTTTTGGCTGATTTGAATTTGTTTCTACATAATTTGGGAAGAGCTTCTTGAATTATTTAGAACGAGGGGTGAACTAATATGATGTCATCTTCTTTGATCTTCTTTGCTTTTGAAGGATCAAGTTGTTGCTGATATTGAAGCTAGGATAGCTGCTTGGACCTTCCTTCCTGTGGGTAAGTCTCTAACACTTCTTTTTTGGAATGATGTCCTTCTTTGGATTATCGCCCCTAGAGAGACTTGATTTTGATATTTTATAATTCTCATTTGGCTTTGGAACCAGAAAATGGAGAGTCGATTCAAATATTACACTATGAGCATGGTCAAAAGTATGAACCTCATTATGATTATTTCCATGACAAGGCTAATCAAGAGTTAGGTGGCCATCGGGTGGCTACTGTGCTGATGTATCTGTCTAATGTAGAGAGGGGAGGAGAAACGGTTTTCCCTCACGCAGAGGTAAGGAAACTGAATGATGCTGCGATTCTTAAATATGTAACTATGGCCCTCAAGGCACTCCTCTCGATGTCAATAATTGATTATGTCTCATTTATTTACTGCAGGGAAAGTTGTCTCAACCAAAGAGTGATGACATTTCTGATTGTGCTAAAAATGGTTATTCAGGTACTACATTGTTTTCACAAACATTTCATTTTTGTTTTCCCTTTCTACTTTTATTAGCTAGTATGCCTCAGATAGATGCTTTGCAGGGCAAGGTTTTGTCCTTTCATTTTTCGTTTTTTTGGGGCCAGTTTCTTTAGCTTTTCAAACTGCATTTTGTTATATGATAGAAGTAGTCACTTTAAATCCCTTCAATGTATGAATGAGTTGTAGCTTATATTTCTAGGTGAACTTATCTTCTGATCATTCTTATTTAAACTCTTGATTTCAAATTGTAACATGCATCGGTGATTTAAGGGATTATATGTCTTTTTCAACTTAAGTAATGACCAACAGACCACAAAATGTTATGTGTCAGACTGTAGTGGGCCCTGCGCTCATATTTGCAAGAGGTACCCCATGCTCTGATCATACTTCGCTGTGCTTACTGCTTAGTTGCATACAGAATGTAAGACTGTCTCACTAGATCCTTGAGTTGTTGCTGCTCATGTAGTCTTAAAGAAGCAGTAGAACCTTTTCGAGAATGGAGATAACTCTCAAGTCACATTAGTGATGATAAACTTATTAATCCGGGGTCAATGTCAAATTCTGTAGTTGATTAAATAAACATTCTTCAACTTGTTTAAGAAAGAATGCTGAAGTGGTTTGATGCTTGCTCTGTTAGAAACTGCTAGAAAAAGTTTTGATTTTGGGTCTATGTCGCATCCTTCCAGTGAAACCCATGAAAGGCGATGCCTTGCTGTTCTTCAGCCTCTATCTGAATGCGACCACGGACACTAGCAGCTTGCACGGGAGCTGCCCTGTCATTGAAGGCGAGAAATGGTCTGCAACCAAGTGGATCCATGTGAGGTCATTCGACAAGCCGACGAGGAGCACAGCTAGCGGAGAATGCAAGGACGACAATGCGAGCTGCCCTATGTGGGCCAGGGCCGGCGAGTGCCAGAAGAACCCTCTCTACATGGTTGGGTCCGAGGATTCTTACGGATTCTGCAGGAAGAGCTGCAAGGCGTGCTCGTCGTAGAGTAAGGAGTTGCTTCTGTGTTTAGCTTCCACATTCTTCTTTTACACTGTCAAGAGTCATAGCCGCGATCTGATGTACATAAACATCGAGAGCTGTGTTCTCCGGAGGCGCCATAGTCGCAGAAATCTACCTCTCAAACTTTTTGTTGCTGTCTACGTACCCGACGGGATTGTACTTGTGGGTTTCTCTCAAAGCCCAGATAAGATGACAGTGGTTCATGTTAAGAAAGTATTACTACATTAATAAGTTGAAATCGCCTGCAGTGCACTTATTTTGGCACTCAATTGCGTGAAATGCGATGGAGGTTATGCTATTTTCAGTTTATCGCCTAAATCAAGGAATATGTTTTGTAAATCATTCGAAATCGCTCCAGAGTCGTTCTCTCACGAGGGCTGTCCTGGCATTAGGAGAGGCTGCTATTGGGCGCACCCGATATAATTATCTCGACACACGTGAATCACGCAGGGTTCGGAAGATCCAACGATTCAGATGCTCTGGACCTGTGCGATGGGAACACACCTAATAATTTAATACGGTGAGATTCAATTGTTAATTTACCTGATTGGATGGTAAGCTTGTAAATTTATTAAAAGGTAGACCTTTCAGTTGCTCTTTTTCAATTGTTATAATATACTATGAATGGACTCTGAATTTCTATTCAACTGTGTCTTTGAAGGTTTGGTTTCTGTGGAGGGTGCTTCACGTTATCCACAATTTGTAAGTTAGATGTTCTATATTGTAGATTATATGAATCCATGCTTGGGAAAAATAATTCGCGGTTTTAGGCTCCGTTTTGTTTCGCCGAAAATGTGATATATCTGGAAAATGTAAATGACAATTTTTTCCGGTGTTTTGCTGTATCTGAAAATTAACTGGAAAATATTTTCCGTCACCACGTCTATAACACCGAAAAGTATTTTCGAATCAGGGTATCTTCAATCCTACATAACACATGAGACTTCAGCAATGGTTGTGCATACTTACCATGTTTTCATGAGCTAACTGTTAGTGTTCCTCGTTAGGCACATCCTATGTTTAGTCAAGAACCTTGTAACCACTCTGTGATTCTCAGTTTTCGTGTCTTTGTTAAAAACGATGAAAGTTTCTGTTGCATCCTAATTATAGAAGCCGAGAACATCATCCGAACATAACCGATTCGCTATCCACAAGTTACTTTCTACAAGGAACACCTCATAAATAAAGGATCAAGAAGCACGCACGACGCAGATGTCTAACCTTTCGGCAATGTTTGCGACGATCTTCGAGTAACGGGGAAGTATCGGAGTATTGTTTGAGGCAGCCTTCGTTAACGGAGAAGATACAACAGGGGAGTGCAGGCAGAGTGGTCCGTGATCATGACCACATTGCAGAGATCGTCGGTCTCTTTCCGGAGGCAGGGCTCTTCAGGCCGCATATGGGAGGATCTCCAGTTCCCGGAGCGGAAATCCGGCGCGCTGCATGCCGCCAAGAACACGGGGCTAGACCAAGAGGTGGTTTTGAATGATAGAAGAAAGGATCCGAAGGACGATGATTTACGAGCTGCTGATTCGCTGCCGCCTGCGCCCGGAGCGCAAAAATGTGGTCTCTCCACCATATTCGGAAGATGTGGAGGCTCATCAACAACCAGGACATAATTCAATTTGACTTTGCTCTTTCTTCTCTTAGGTTCCTCTTCTTTTCACCCCTTTGGTTCAGGGCTCTGAATTTGCGATTTGTATAGTTCATATTTCTTGGGCCGGCAAGATGGCAATTTGTATAGACGTTAGAGATGCGGGTTCTGCATTTTACTTCCTCACCAGATTCGCGTTTTCCTTCCCATTCCAACTTTTCATGGAATTCGTCGATCGAATCCCCCCGGAGAGAGCGTAATTATTCCATCGTCTGGTCAGATGCGATATATATTACTGCGTTGGCGCGATTTTGGTCTTCATGACTTTCGAGCCATCGGATGCAAACACATTCCTTGAGATGAATTGCAATAGGAAGCGAAGCCGATGCATCTTCATCTTGATAACAGGAACAGACGAATGGAATTAAGCACAATCCATCGGTTTAGAGCGAAACTGTTATATCTTGAGGAAGGCCTGTGGAACCATATTCTGATATTGTATCGTTTCATTTCTGATTAATCATCTCTTCGAAAGACATTCGCGAAAAATCATCGGCTTTTCCAACTCATGATCCTTGGCAGATCTTTACAGGACTAGGTAATTCAGGTTTCAGATCAGGGACATCAGTCTCCATCGTTCATCCTCAATTTTATTTGATTGGGACAGGGGATATATATGTGTGAAGGGTTCATCTGTGTTTTTCGCGGTTCTCTGAAACTTCTCTAGTATTGTTTGATTTAGCTCCTCTTTCAATCAAATTCAAGCTACCCGTGTGGGAAATCTCCGAGTAGTATCAGATAATTCTAGTTTGAATTTCTTTTATGGCAATATAGTCGGAAGGAGAGAAAAGTGCTGCTCGAAATGATACGACGAGATCGGCTCATACTTGCGGTCCCGTCTGTCGATATCTTAGAGTAGTTCGGACCGGATTCTAGTACTTCAAAATCACCATTGTGCAGGAATTTTTTATGCTCAATGGGATCGAGTGATGGAGATCTCTCGGGAGGAACTGTGACCCAAACTGCCCTATCCAATGTTGTTGCAAAGGTCCCCATGCTTTGTTTGCAAAACTTAGGACATGGAAGAGATTCGAAATGTGAGGTAGCAAGGTCCCAACTTGCTTGGCTTTACTCAGATGACCTCTGTCCCACTTTCGTTGCCATTATCTTCAAATTTCTTCTCTAATTTCGAAAAAAACAATGCGCTAACCAAGACAAAATGAGCAAGCTCCAATTGGAGTTGGACCCACCTGGATATATAATGGCAACAAAGGGTTAACTAACTTTCCCTTTCCTCCGTATATGAAAAAAACAAGAAACAAAAGAAAGCCTGTTTCACTTCTGTTCCACCTTTAAATAGAGTCCAACAGGTACTTACTGCCAAGTAAGTCACTACATGACACTCGGATTCTTCTGTTCTGTTTTTCCAACTTCCTTCCTTCTTGTCTGAGATCACACCACACCCCCCCCACCCCCTTTCTTGATATAGCAACATGCTAGTCTCGATCTCTCTGGCGTCGCATGTTTTCATCGATTTGTCATCAGTGGTCACACTCCGTCAGTGAAAAGAGGTAGTGAGATCATGAGGAAAATGATGAGGAATAACAATATCAGGGCCTCGAGGGCTCTGTTCACAGCCCTTGCATTTCTGGGTCTGATTTGGTTCTTGTTTTCTGGGATCCACGCGAGCCTCGCGGCCAAGAGCGCGAAAGTGACGGTCCCGGTTCCGCCCTCCGTCCAAGTTTCTGGCCGGACAAAGCCGCTCGGGAGGGAAAGAGAGGCGGCTTACTGGGATTTAGATCTCAATTATGTAATCAGGCGAAGAGTCCCGAGCGGACCTGACCCCATCCACAACCGGTACGTATAATTGTGATATCACTTATTAAGTGCACTTGCGATGAAGGCGAAGTAGCGAGTAACATTTAATGAAGTCAGGTTGTTAATGATATCACTTGTAGTGCGACAGCAAATACTGTTGCCTGAACCTTCTTTCACGTTTGCAAGTAGTTTCTCTGTCTGTATACTGATTTTATACTGAAATCTGCAGAGACTAAGAAATAACTACTTTAAAGAATAAACGCCGGAATTCTGCAATAATTTTTTCGCATATTGTACCGCCGCTTAAGAGGTAATTATTGAATTCAAGAATGCAGGTGCATAGGAGCTGGTGACAGTTTTTCCCTTTATGAAAAGTTTCTTTGAATGTGAATCTTTCTCTTATTTTGATGAGGAACGAAAGAAATAAAGGCCATTGGGAACAGAAAGGGACCACTTGATAAAGTAATGGGGGTGTGTATATACATAGTCGATAGCTTCCAACTTTTGTCTGTTGATTTGTATGCCACACCTGAATCAATTCCAACCCTCTTCACAAAGGACATAAATAAACACAGTGATAATCTCGATTGAGTTGATAATAAGTCCTTGTGACACCTATCATCAACAATTTTTCGTGGTCTAAAATGAGTGTAACTTTCTGTAACAAATGCTAGAGACATAGGGGAAGCACACAATGTGGAGCTCGGCACGTTAACTCATAAAAGACTTAAGACTTTTGAGCTGCACATGTCCGACGGGCTTCGAGTGAGCCAATGATTGAATGCTCAATAAGAGAACCCCCTGAACTATCTTAAGATTAGCTAGAACTATATATCTCTCATATAAAGTGTGTCTCCTCTACTCCACATGTTCATCCAGGAGGGCAGTGATATATAGACAACCACCAGGAGCTTGAAAGGAGACAGAAAATCAAGCTGCATGTCCGATTTTTGCGAGAGTCTTGCTCTATCGAAGACTGACGGAATCGGAAGTCGTGATTTTTCTACTATGCACTGCTATGACCGAAGTTGTGAGCTGAGTATATGTAAATGGCAAACAGCACATGTTCTTGTGGTAGGATAGCTTTGCAATGAAAGGATTTGCCGTGTAGTTCTGCTTGGATTTGTATCTGCAGAGTTATTGATTTTTGTGCAATTCATGAATGTGAATTTTTCTTCCGCAATTTGTACTTCTCCATTTAAAAAGGCGAGTCATTAGCATACAATAGTACCAGCTAAGCAAAACATGCAAGAAGCCTGCAACATCACTTTTTGACGAAATCCGACTTCGTTTAGCTTGTTCCTAAAAGTTGAGTGAAATTCACTCGGCATGGGAAAAACAGGGAAAGTATGGACCATGGAACGAGCATTAGTCTTGTAGAGTTGGCAAATAAGACTAGAGTTATAATCTCATAGTAGTCTACGAGTTTTCTTGTATCCTGATTGACCGAGTCCATCCTACAGCTCGCCTCCATGATAAATTTGCGAGAGGACGCGTTTGGAAAAACACTGGACAAGGGTTATAATCTCAATGAGTAAGGAATAGCACTGGACATCATCTAGCTTTTTGTCTTGGTTCTTTTGACATATCCCTGTTGGATTTGGCTCTTTCTTTAATCTTTTCAAGTGGCTCCGTGTTCCCTAGATAAAGCAAATCCAATCAGCTAAAGCGGCTTCATTCTCGAAACTTTTCGCTTGATGAACGGTGCGGTGGTGACCGCAAAAGTTCCTAAGGAAATTGGAGCAGAAGACTAACTGTGAAAAAGGATGAAAGTACTCGATCTTTCTCTGATGTCTCAGTATGATTAAAGCAGTTATTGTCTAAACATAGCAATATCCTCAATTTGACCACATTTCTTGTGGTTGTTGGTTCTTTTTTAGGCTCTGCCACGTAAAGTAGCGGTCGACGGGTTTTTGAACGACCAATCTTGCGGTTGCAATCACGCACATGACTTTCTACCACTAGTCCGAATGCCCTAGTCCCAGTTTCACTATGCAAGTTAAGTTAGCCCCAGTTGTGCATGGGTCTGCACGAGAATCAATCTCGAGACCTCAGTTTTCTTATTATCGCAATGATAGTTTCTGCTCAAGAAAACTCGAACTATCATGTTGGTCTTTACTAATTTAAAATCAACGAATCTGTATTCAACTTTGAACCGTATAGGAGTCGAAGGTCTCGACAAGTCCCACCATGCGACGCCTTTGGAATAAAAGAATGAGACTGAAACTTTCTCCGAAAACATGCAGTTAAAGAAAGGGAAAGGCAAGGAGCAATCTGAGCTCCACTGCTTTTGCTTTCAATCCTTCTTTTTTTCCCGCCCCTTTTGCTTTGCCCCTTTTTCCTGGCTTGATTTTGTGTGGTTCGAGAAGCAAAAGAACTTGGACTAAAAAGTGAACCGAGATTCAAAATCTGGGGTCCCCTTTTGTTGCATGGGAGACAGATACCCAGCTCGTGCAAGTTCTTGTTCATGTGAGAATTTTTGTTTGCCTTTTGATGGACCTCATCGTGACTGCACTCATCAATTTAAAGTAGCAATTTTTGTGCAGTTGATTGAGGCCCCGCCAAAAGACGCTGGTCTTTAGAATCATCAACCATTCGGTAGAATTTAGTTTACTCTCACATGCTATACGTAAATCCTAGTTGTTCAAATGTTTTTTGGCTGGTAATGTCTCTGTTTCTGTTGTTGGAGCGGGACTGTACTAACACGAGGAGACTAGTTTAGTTCATGGTTCAAAGGAGCCCAGGAGGCTCGTCCTATAGAAAGAAACAGAATGATGCGAGCACCGACGTCGAGCTTCGACCCTCATCGTGTGCTCTTTCCCATCAAAGCATTGCCTTTGAGCCTCTAAGAGAGCTTAGTTTTCTTGGTTCTGGAGAAGACATTCGGATGGCATTCAGATGTGCCGCAATGTTCCGAGCGCTTTGCAATATATTTCCTATTTCCAGACAACAGAGATTGTTCGTCCTAAGCAAAATGGAACTCGCGATCCTTATGCATCCAAGACGCGCTCCCGAAACATGAAATTCCAATAGCCCCATTGAAAGAGCCACGACTTTGAATGGTGCTAGCTAGTGTTTGGAGCTCGATGTACAGAGTACCCTGAAGAACCGGCAGGACATAAAGATTATCGACGACGATGAGATTATGTGAGACTATCTCCATGTTCCATGCATATTCGACTCGCCAAATTTAACCGCGCGATATATTAGCTTTAAAAGGGTTGCAAACATAGACTGACTATCGTTTGAAGGTACATTGCATGTGCCACCAGGACATCCCTTGCCTATCGATATCAACTATCGTTTAGAGAGAGAGAGAGAGAGAAAGATTATTGCACATGAAGATGGTTATAAATTCCAAATTCCTATAGTAAAAATGACATTGATTCATCTGAGTATATGGAACTGTGGATATACACATGAATAACAAGCGAATATCCGCTCCGGATAACCGGTAAGAGGCATGAGAAAGTAAAATAGGCGAGCCGATGGATGTTAATTACCGCAGTGTACTATGAATCGATAAGCAGGGGAGCACATAAAAGATGAAGGGGATTCTATTCTTAAATCTCTTCCCACAAAGAAAAGAGCCAGAAAATTCATATGCTCCTGATAAATGCAAGAACCGAGAGCTAAATAGTTTATTTCATCGTTTAGAAAAATTACATATGCTGCTGAAGATACAGATTACGCCACTTTACAAGAGGATGGTTTTTGAATTTTTACCAAATACTAGGGAATATCAATGTTAACTGGAGCCTGAAAATTTTCAGGCTTTGACTCTTCCCTCTTCAGCTACATTGATTCATGATCCTGCTTCAAGAAAATGAGAGGAAACTCGTCATATTGCTCCGTCATACCCTGCGCTTCGGCCATGCTCTTCAATGACTGGTAAGCCTGGTACATGGACCATCGGTCCTTGGGTCGAGAATTTATGCAACTGCAAGCGATTTTAAAGAACTGCAGAATTTCGCCATCATAGCCGTGTTCCCAGAGAGATTTGTCGACGGCATCCTTAATTCTGTCGGTGCTAGAGAGCACATTCACCCAATCCACTAGATTACCCTTGAATTCTTCATCTGGGTTGTTCACCTCGAGAGGCTTTTGCCCCATTACCAACTCCAAAAGCACCACACCAAATGCATAAACATCACCCTTCATCGAAGCAACCATGGTGCTCGAGTATTCTGGAGCAACGTAACCGAACTCCCCTAAATCGCCATTCACAAAACTGCTCCCGTTGGACTCCGAGGTAGTCATGAGCCTCGCTAAGCCGCAATCAACTATTCGAGCCTCAAAGTCTTCGTCGATAAGGATCACGTTGGAGCACAAGTTCTGATGCAAGAAGGGTGGATGACACCCGTGATGAAGCCAAGTGAGGCCTCTAGCGATGCCTAAACCGACCCGGAACCTAGTTGGCCAATCCAATAAAACGCTGCTTCCATGCAGCAAAGAGTAAAGAGTGCCGTTTGACATGTGCTTGTAAACCAACAGCTTCTCTTCCTCCACTATACAAAACCCCAACAGGGGCGTCAAATTCGGGTGCCTCAGTTGTCCCAACTGATTCATCTCCAACCTGAACTGCTTTTCCCCGAGCTTACAGGTATTGAGCCGCTTGATCGCCAGCGCAGATCCATCCGGGAGGACAGCCTTATAAGTGCATCCAGTCCTAGTGGAAATAATTATATTCTCCGTGCTGAAATTATTCGTGCCGGCCATTAGATCGGCCAATTTGACCTTCACGATCGGCTTTTGGAACAGAGAAACCTGGACAAGCTTATGAGCCCTAAGCCTCTCAGCCCAAACACTATCATCATCCCTCCCAATCCCATACATTCTCTTCCTCCTCCTCGCAACCCTCAGATGATACCACCACCACAGGCCAAGACCCAGCAACAGAGATGCAGCGGCACCAAAAACCCCAGCAGCAATGATGATCGCCAGGTTCTTCTTGCTTAACCCACCACACTTCCTTAAAGGCCCTCCACAGAGATCGTTACCTGTAAAACTTGCCTTACCAAACCCATCAAAGAACGAAGGGACAGTCCCTCTCAGATCATTGTTGGCGACCGAGAACTTCTTGAGCCTACCTAGAGTCAAAAACTCATACGGTATAGTCCCGGTCAGGCGATTACTCGAGAGCACAAGATTGTTCAAGTAAGTGCAGTTCACTAGCCCGGGTGGTATAGAGCCCGAAAGGCCATTGCTCGACAGATCAAGAGTCACCAAGTAAGGAAGCCATGAGCATATTTGAGGAGGGATTGTACCAGAGAGGCCATTGTTGGAGAGATCCATGGTCTGCAAGCTCCGGCAATACTGCAATGACTCCGGAATCTGCCCCGTCAAGTCCATGCCTCGGAGCTCGAGGTTGAGTATGCGATTCTCACGGTCGTTCCAGCAAGAAACGCCCACGAACTTGCATATGAACCCGACCGATGAGCTGGCGAATCTCCAAGAACTCAGCTTCCCTTGTGGGTCGCCGAGCGAGGCCTTGAGACCCTGCAAGCACTTGACATCGTCCTCAACGACAGCGACCGCTGAAACGAGCCATGCAACCAAAAACAAGATCATCAGATCCCACCAGCGCTTCATTGATGATGGTCTCGCCGACCAACCCGAGCAACACCCTGAAGCTTTCATGGAAACCTCTGCACCAGCTTATACTGAACGAAAAGGACCATTCACGGGAGGCAGAGCAAACGGTGTTCTTGGGTGACCAGCTTTATGGAGTGAGTTCTACGCGTAAAAGAGTGGAAACTTTGGGAATGAGGGAGATCTGAAGCAAGGGACACTGACCACAAATCTGCAGAGAGATAACAAAACAACAGAAGCCGAGCCTTCTTTTTTCCCTCTGGGTGAGTGCCTTTCGTGTGTGTCTCGATCATATCAAATTCAATGGCGAGTGTGGTTCTTGATGATTAACAACGGTTTGACTGAAGGATAGATTCTTGAAGATGGTATAATCAAAGGGTTTTGACCATTAAAGAAAGGAAGGAAAGAATAAAGAAAAAGGGAGATGGTGCTTATTCACTGCTCATCGATTTCGAGAATTCTCCACCATGAACAGCAAAATGGCAAATGGCCAGTTTTTGTGCTGCACTAGCTGATCCTCTGTGATTTATCATCCGAATCCACTATCTCCATCCAACAGGAAAATACCAGGCAAACTAACTTGATCAGTTGTAAAAAAGACAGAGGAATTCACCTTTAATTTTACAGGAAAGAATTTATGTGATGCACGAGTTGAAGTGGAATCAACTTGATATCTTTTGTTACGGCGTTCATGAAACGAGTATATCAAATGCGAATAATATTTTGAATATTGAATTTGGATTTCGGCCTCGGTGCATTCGACTTGCATTCGTGCAACTCATGGTCCTGCTGCCACTTGGGAAAGCGGGGCTCTCATGTCTTTCCTGAAATGTTCCCCTCAATTTCGTACTTCAAATCAAACTCCCCTTTTTTCTCCCCCAAATGCATGTTCAAAGTTTGAACTTTTTGTCTAGTGTTTGAAAGTCGGAACCCGGCAAACGGGATTCCTTTTCTTGACTCTAGTGGACTTATAGTGTGTGTACTTGGTTATGTACAAGTCATCCCGTCGAGAGCAATTTTTCATGTACGTACATACGTGAGAATTGAAGATCGAGTCGATGCGTATTCATAGAGAAGGTTGATTATTGAATCGCCTAAACAAGCTCTCTATATACCTTAATTTCGTGCCAAGCTAGAGCGACCATTTCAAGGGGTGCTCGCCTTTGTTATCCCACTTTCAAGTGATCGAATCATGAAGATCAGAGTAGTTCCTAGTAATTAGAGCACTAGAATTTTGCTGATGTTAATTCATAAGTTTATCTATCCCTTTGATTAGTAAAGTTATTATGAAGAATGAAATTGACTTTTGTTTGGAAACAAGCTAATACAGCGAAAGACCCCCTAAACTATGAGACGGTCGAAATATGTTTCCTATCCTTTTGATTTTCGTGATTAACTCTCTAGTCTCATAAATAGGTAATAAATATATAAAAATTCGCAAATAGTAGCCATACCTTAGCTATCAATTAATTGTATTTTTCAATAAAAAAAAGTAAATGATAATTCATTAACTCTTAATGCTAATAGCAGCATTTTTCGCAACCTTATTGATTTTCCATGACTTCCTAACTTTTGCTCAGCGTGTACGGGTTTGTAATTAATTGAACTTTGTTCATTAGGAAATGTTCTATTTGTTTTGCTCTACTTATTTGGACCCATTTGGCATGATTGTGGAACTTTGTTCAAAAATGTTTTTGTGGGTATCGATCCGATTTTGGAGCGTTCCCAAAATAAGATTAGCGAAATTCGGACCGTGTTAAGCGGAGTTACATAAAAGTTTTGTCAGCTCACTTGATACACAATCAGTTATCCATTCATGTCCGAGTTCAAGTTGGATGAAATCAGCTAACGCAATCTATTTAACTATAGATGCTATAATATCTTCATTTTGTATATTTAACCAGAAATATGAGTTATAGATTCATATCAACGCTTTGTTAATACTTAACTCGTTTCCTTTAAGCTATCTAATTGTTCGAGATTTAGTTGGCAACCTTCGAGGCCTTCTCTCTCATCGAGTCATTATCTCTGTACCCTCTCCCTTCTTCCCATCTCTTCATTAATTATTTCAGTATCTAATCACGACTCTTTATATTTAGGGAAAAAACCACCAAAAATCCCGAACTTTGTCATCTGTGACACATTTACCCCGAACTTTTTTTTGTGACACCAAAAACCCCGAACTTTACTTTTTGTGACACATTTACCCAATGTATTTAGTCCATGGGCATTTTCGTCTTTTTGCTTTTTCTTTTTTTTTTTTTTTTTTTTTTTCCGTGAGGGGGCCTCGCCGCGCCGGCGCGAGGGCGGCCCTCGCCGGCGCGGGCAAGCGAGGGCGGCCCTCGCCCGGGCGAGGCGAGGCGGCCCTCGCCGACGCCCTCGCTCGGCGAGCCGCGAGGCCCCCTCGCCAGATCCGCCGAGGCGGCCCTCGCTCGGCGCGAGGCCCTCCACTCGCCGAGTCCGGCGAGGGCGGCCCTCGCCGGCGTCGGCGAGGGCCGCCCTCGCCTCGCCCGGGCGAGGACGACCCTCGCCGGCGTCGGGCGAGGTCGCCCTCGCCTGGGCGAGCGAGGGCGGCCCTCGCGGCGCCGGGCGAGGCCCCCTCGCCCGGATCCGGCGAGGCGGCCCTCGCCGCGTCGGGCGAGGTTCGCCCTCGCACAGGCGAGCGAGGCGGCCCTCGCCCGACTTAGGCGAGGTCGACCCTCACTAGCGTCGGGCGAGGGTCGACCTCGCTCGAGTCCGGGCGAGGGTGACCCTCGCCGGCGTCGGGCGAGGTCCGCCCTCGCCCGGCGAGCGAGGGCGGCCCTTGCCCGATCCGGCAAGGTCGACCCTCGCCGGCGTCGGACGAGGGTCACCCTTGTCGACGCCGGCGAGCGAGGGCGGCCCTCGTCGACGCCGGCGAGGGCGGCCCTCGCCGGTTCCGGCCCTCGCTCGACGCCGCGAGGGCCCCTCGCCGTGATCCGGCTAGGCGGCCTCGCCGGCGTCGGCGAGGTTCGCCGCACGGGCGAGGTTCGCCGCCAGGCGAGCGAGGGCGACTCGCCCGATCTGGCGAGGTCGACCCTCGCCGGCGTCGGGCGATGGTCGCCCTCGCTCGGGCGAGCGAGGGCGGCCCTCACTCGGATCCGGCGAGGGCGACCCTCGTTGGCCTCGCCAGGATCGGGCGAGGGCCGCCCTCGCTCGGCGCCGCGAGGGCCCCTCGCCAAATCCGGCGAGGGCGACCCTCGCCGGCGTCGGGCGAGGGTCGCCTCGCCCGGGCGAGCAAGGGCGGCCCTCGCCCAACTCGAGCGAGGTCGACACTCGCCGACGCCGGCGAGGGTCGACCTTGCTGAGCCGGGCGAGGGCCGCCCTCAGCTCGCCCGGGCGAGGGCGAACCTCGCCGACGCAGCGAGGGCCGCCTCGCTCGACGCCGGTGAGGGCAGCCCTCGCCCGACGCCGGCGAGGCCCCCCTCGCCGGAAAGGAAAAAAAAAAGAAAAAACAAAAAAGACAAAAATGCCCATGGATTAAATACATTGGGGTAAATGTGTCACAAAAAGCAAAGTTCGGAGTTTTTGGTGTCACAAAAAAAAGTTGGGGGTAAATGTGTCACAGATGGTAAAGTTTGGGGTTTTTGGTGGTTTTTTCCCTTATATTTAATAATAAGTTCTTCACTTTAGCACAATAACGTAAAATTGATGAGAGACAAAATCATATGTTCAGATTATTTTACACGCAATTTAGACACAATGAAGAACGTACGAGATATATGAGTTACATCGTGCTCGTGAGAACCAATCCAAGTTTTTCATTGTTTACTTATATGTAAATTTCTTAATCATCTAAAAATTATGCATTACCGAAATGATTTAGTTATGCTCAAACTTTTTTTCTTATTATATTTTGTATGATAATATGTATATACACACTGTTTTGTTTTTCTCGTGGACCCCCACGTTTCTCATCCAAAAACTAAGAATTCGCGCTTCACCAAAACGTCGTCGCTTTTGGGCCACTGCACTTGTTGGAAGTTGGGTGTACCTGTCAACATTTCCAAATGGACTTCCGTGGGCCTTCGTTTTCCCGCTTCGAGAGATGGGAGGTGAACTCGCGCCCGCAGTCCTGTGTTCACCTGCGAATTGTTGTCCGATTTTTTTGCGTTTTCGAGCGTCAATTCTCGCGCATTGAGCAAGTGCAAGAGTCTAGATTGCGTGATTCCGCCAAGTGTGTTCGACGTTTTTTGAGGTTTATGGTATCGCAAGAGCATCATGGTGGCGGCGAAGAAGGCCTATGCAGAGATCATTCTGAACACGGCAAAGGAGGAGGCGGCGGCGGCTCGCATGATGGCGTCCTTCCGCTCCGCTCCGGGTTCAGCATGATCTGTAAGGCTACTAAGGAGGAAGGCCTTCGAATGCTGCTTCGCTTGAAGCAGATGATGGATGCCATGCCGAGGTGTGTTCTTGTCTTCGACGAGCTGGCGGTCTGGATGGTCATTGATTGATTATCGTGAATTCTTCGTTTGGCTCTTCAATCGTGCAAACTGTTTGATCCAAGCCTAAGTTGTTTGCCTGCATGTTGATGATTATCTGATCTGACTCTGATGGAGCAGCTGTACTGAGATAGTTCATAGATAGCTAGCTACATCATCTAGCTGTTTTCTCTTGGTTCTTTTGACAGATCTTTGCTGGGTTTGCTTCTATCTTTAATTTTTCAAATGGCTCAGCTAAAGGGGCCTCATTCTCGAAACTTTTCACCTGATGAACCGCGTTGTCATGATCGTGAAGGTTTTTAAGGGAATTAGAGAAAAAACTTACTGCGAAACAGATGAAAGTACCAGATCCATCTCTCAATTGTCTCAGTATGATTAAAGCTGTTATGTCTGAACATAGAAACATCCTCATGTGGTTGTTGATTCTTTTTTAGGTTTTGCCATGTAAAGTTGCGGTCGACAGCTTTTTGAACAACCGACCTCGCAGTTGCAATCCCCAGCCCGACTTCCTGTCACTAATCCGGATGCCCCGTGCAAGTTAAGCGCAACTTTAGGCTGAATAGCGAAGAAATTGAATTTGCCCTCATTTCACAATGCAAGTTAAGTAGCTCGAGTAGCAGCTGGGTCTGCACGAAAATCAATCTCGAGAACTCGGTTTTCTTATAGCCACAATAACCGTATCTACTCAAGAAAACTCAAAGTATCGTGTTGGCCTTTACTAATTTAAAACCAACGAATCTGTTTTAAACTTTAAATTGGTATTAGAGTTGAAGGTTTTGAGAGATCTCACCATACGCTTCGTTTGGAATAATAGAAAAAGACAAACTTTCTCCTAAAACAAGCAGTTAATGAAAGGGAAAGACAAGGAGCAATCTAAGCTCCATTGCTTTTGCTTTCAATCCTTCTTTTCTTCCCTCCCCTTTTGCTTTGCCCCTATTTTCCTGGCTTGATTTTGTGTGGTTCGAGAAGCAAAAGGACTCGGTCTAAAAAGTGAACTGATATTCAAAATTTGGGGTCCCTTTTGGTGCGTGGGAGACAGCATCCCAGCTCGTGCAAGTTCTCGTTCTTGTGAGAATTTCTGTTTGCCTTTCGATGGACCTCAGCTGGACTGTACTGATCAATTTAGAGAAGCAATTTTTGGGCAGTTGAGTGTGGCCCGCCAAAAGACACTTGTCTTTAGAAA